TCTTTCATTTATTCTATTTATTATATTCATATTTATAATTAATAAAAGTCCTTTAATTCTGTTTCAGTTGAATAAAATCGCTGCAATTACATTAATTAGCGACATAATTTTCTCTCTCTTTTAAATATTATATTATAAAATAAAATTATTTATGTTATGCGTATAAAAACTCATGAAGATTCTCCCAACATGAATATGTATATAAGATTTTAGAAAAATACGTGTAATGGTTTGCCTTGAAAAACTTTCATGAATAGATTGTTTTTAAACTCTAGATCAAAATATTCCCTCCGAATGGGGAAATAATTGATAGTTGTTATATAGGGAGTACAATAGACTTGGTCTAGGATTTTGAATATTGCTCTCTCTTTATCCCTTTCAGTCTTATCTCCCTCTTTTCTTCATTATCATTATGTATCTTATAATCATTATCATCTTGTATCTTATAATCATCATAAAAAATGTATATTTAATACATGTTTGTGACAAGTATAAAGTTACCTACATAGTTTATTGAACTATCCGTGTATCTCATTATAAGTTTATTAATATTAATAATTTTTCGTTGTTTCCAGTTATGTCCTGTAGGATCTACAGTAAGAATCATACCGCCAGGAATGCTAAACACTGTAGAAAGGCAAAACCAATCACAATCTCAACAATTAACGCAACAAATCAGTATGCCTGCCACATATCACGTACCAAGGGGACCTGCAGCGGTCGCTAATATCTCTGCACCCAGATCAACAGTTGCTACTCCGATCGTCAGAGCGAACACGGGACAGACCGTGCCCACTACTAGATCGTGGTATGTGTATATACGCGTATGTATGAGCGTTTGTGCTTGTGTGCTCAGCATAAGCGCGTATACATACGCGCAAACATCTCTGCATATACTATAAAATAAACTTGAGAATTTTAAACTAGCAAATTAAACAATATAGTAGCATAATACAAAATATTATTATAAGAGAAAAAATGAAGGAAAATTTTCTGTAAATGATTTATGCTAGAGACTATCAGATATATCATCCTTTTTAACAGTAACACGACAATTTCTAATCCTCAATGGCAACCGAAAACAACATCCGTCGTGTACGCGCAACCACAAAGACATCCTACAACTCCTTCGGTCAACAGAATGTCCAGGCCATCATCCGTGTATACAGGACAACAACCACGACTAATTACACCGAGCAGTCAAGGCAGATCCGTTCAAGCCACCATTACTGGTAGTCCGTCCAGATTAGTATCGCCCATTCTGCAAACAAACAATAGCATTACCACCAGACTTCCGCTTGCACAAAGCAGACCACCGACGCCCCAAGTGGTAACGGTGACACAGACTTCGCAACTTGGAAGATCATCGGCACAGACCATTCAAGTAAATGGATAATCATTTAAAAATACAATTTATGAAAGTTGCAGGACGCTATGTATAAAATTCATAAAGTAAAGTGATAGGGTTTTTTTTTTACAAAGAAATAATGAATTTTTAAAATCTTTGTATTTTGCAAAATGTTTAGCCAACCAGTCAGTCCAGCAGACCTCTAACTACGACAGGTGCCGCGAAACGTGTAGCTGTATCTGCTTCTGTTGTAGAAACAACAAACAGAATAAGTAGTACATCTGCAGTTACGGTCGAACCCACGGTAGGTCGACAATTGTCAATTAACACAGTGGCCGGGCCGTCGACCGGCACTGTTAGCCACATTGTTATACCTTCACAACAGGTTAGTACAAGTATATACGAGAGGTAGTCCGAAAATAAGTTTCGACGAGTCTGCTATCGACAGGAATTTGTATTCCTCAGACAAAATACATTATTAATAGGAAGACACATTCTTACGTTACTTTTTAACACAGTTCCCACTGATATTAACATACTTATCGTACAGCTTCAGAAGGTCGAAGAAGCCCCTCTTGTAAAAGTCCATGTCCAGTTTAAGGACGAAGTTTCGAACCGCTTGTTTCATATCATTATTGCCGGTGAAACGCTACCTTCCCATCACCTTTCTCAAAACTGGGAAGAAATGGAAACTTGGTCGCTGGATCGCGACTGGTCGAGACTATAGAAGGGGGTGATCGAGGTATTCCCATGAGAAATTGGCAATATGGTTACCGCTGCCGTATGGGGTCTCGCATTATCATGAAGCATGATCTCTGATCTGAGAAGACCCGACCTCTTTCTTTCATTCATCGCGTACCTGTCATCACATACCTGTTCGCTATTGTTTTCCACTGAGTGTAGGCACGCTCCGCTAAGCACTCGGTTATTTCCGACTACTATTGCGCGTAGGCAATATGCACGCTCAAAGCTAGACGTATATTGCTAGAAGAAAGATGCCGGTGTACCAGCACATGGTAGTTACATTTTGCCTCACAAGTCTGTCGGCTTTGGAAATATACGTATGCGAAACTTATTTTCGGACTGTCCTTCGTATGTGTTCGCATGATATCTTTCGGGTTGAAATGTGTAGAAAAATGTAGCGACGTGAGTTAAATGTGGGCTATTTTCATTGCCATTGATAGGTTCAACAGCAACAAGGTGCGTCTCGTGTTGTTCAAACTGTCACATCCTTGTCGAATCTCAGCACCGTGTCGCAAGTGATCACCACAACCGCGAACACGTCGAACGCGACGCGCATATTGCAAACAGTCCCGACTACGGTCGCAAGGATCACTGGTATGTCTTTGCATCCTTTGCCGCTGGTACCGGTGAGAGCCACAACAGCACCAGTCAAGGCCGCACAGTCCCAAAATATTGGACAAACTGTGCAGATTAAGTCGCCGCAACAAGCTAGCTTACGCGTGTCAACTACTGGTACAAACAACAGCACAGTTACCACTAGTGCTCAGCCAGTTCAGGGACAATATATACATCCACCACATACTACTACATACTATTCTTTTGACAGTAAGTAAGATTATAATATCACCAATTTCATCACCAACTATTCGAAGTATTTGGATACCTGACAATCTGAATATCCGATATTGGTTTCGATCCAAAAACTCAAAATCGCACTATTCAGATAATCTGGACAATCCGAATTATTCGGATCCAAATTCAGACTGAACAAAATCTGGATTCAGAACTGAATTTGAATGCAAATTAAAAATAACAAAAATAATTTAAACATCAATGTAATAACAATATTATATCCAAAATACTTATTATTCAAATTATTGAAAAAGAAAAAAAATATATATATACACTCACACACATATGTATGTTTACACATGTTTACACACGTGTGTATATATATGTGTGTTGAAACGCGTACTGATGGTCGAAATGCGAGGGAAGGATAGACGTTGTCGGGAGGGCTGCCTATCCTTGTCCAGCGTGTAGTTTCGATCATTATATGTACAAAATTAGAAAAAGACAGGTGGCCTCTTAATAATAGTCTATTCTTCCCTCGTTTTTCGTTTATGCAGTAATATGGTAGTGCGCTTTCCAGTATATATATATAGTGGATCACTCAAATATATATATATATATTTATATTTATATTTGAGTGATCCAAATATATAAATAGAAACAATCGTCTCAGGTTAAGTTGCAGTTTAAAAATATTGATTTATTTTCTGACTGAAATTTGTTCAAAAGCGATCTAAATTGTTGCGGACGTATCTATTGTGCATTTATATCCGGATTAAAATTTGAGTATCTTAGAAAGTCCGAATTCTTTCTATAACTTGAATTTAAAGCGTCACATTTACACGCCACCCGAATAATCACCAATATAATTGGAAAACTTCTATGGATAAAAGTACAAAACTTCCATGAGACGTAGGTAGGACTTCGCCGCTTTTTTTTATAGTATGTGGGGGTACTGATTCGCACGCGTGCGCGTGTTACGTTGCAAATATATAACTTTCAGGATCCATAACTTAGAAAGTACTTAATGAAACAAATATCTTTATTATAATGTTTTGAAAAGCTTTCAAGGTCATACACAGCTAGCTACAAGAATATGCAATAAAAAATAAGGGTTTCCGTTAAAAAAATTTTAAAGTAATTTTTATATGACTTTAATAATGCTGTCCAAGGTCACATTTATATTACTACGTAATACGTAGATACGTATGGAATATTTTTCTCAAAAATGCTTTATTTTCAAGATAATCGACTGATTTAAAGTACAACATATCTTAGATATACAGGATATATGAAAGAAGCCGGGACCCCGAAATATCTTGAAAAATATAAGTTTTATAAAGAAATATTTCAGATAAAAGTTGTAGAGTTTAAAAAGATCTACTTATTGATGTTATCAGTTTGACTTTGGGTAGTATCGCCAAGATTAGGACAAGATCATCTTGAACTTTTTAATAAAGTTCCCAATTTTTTATTGCATATTTTCATAGCCCTTTTTGAGACCTTTTCAAAACAATATAATTTTATTCACTTTGAGTCAGTCGTTTCGATGTTGTCAAAAAGAACAAAATTGCCCCAAACACGAATCTTCTTAAAAAATGGGAATTCCCATTTAAAAGATTGTTTTGGGACTGGCTGGACCCAAATTAGACTAAATATTTGATTCACATTGTTGAAAAGAAAAAAGTCGTTCCGAATGCAAATCTGCGATGAAAATGAAGATCCTCATTTAAAAGAATCGATATGGGCCTGATTAGGCGCCAACTTAACCTACGTACCACTTCTTTCTCCATACATGAAATATTATAATAGTGGTATCTTCATTTATTTAATCTTGAGTAAAATTGCAATCACCGATATCTTATAAAAATCGCGATAACTTGGAAACGGCTGATTCGAAATTGATAAAATTATAGAATTTTGAAAAGGCTCCAAGGACTATATACATGAGAATATGCAATATAAAAATAGGTTTTAGAATTAAAAAAAAAATTCAAAGTTGAAATGACGCTACCCAAAGTCAAACTGATTAAATTAGTAAATAGATTTTTTTTTAATTTACAACTTTTATTTGAAATATTTTTCTATAAAACTTTCTTTCCAAGATATTCCGGGATTTCGATTTTTTTATATACCCTATATACAGGGTGTCCTTTAAATAATTTTATGACAATCTCAAATATCTCTTGAATAATGTATTTTGGAGAAAAATTTTCTATATAAAAGTTGGAAGGAAGTTTAAAAGGATCTTATCAGGTGACCTTAAGTAGAGGCGTCAAGGTTAAATGAAGGTCAATTTCCCTTTTTTAAATGGAATCATATAGTTTTCTGAACAAAAATTAATTGCTGTATTCATTCTGCGTATAAAAGTATTAGAGCGAAATTATCAAACAGTGAATACTTTAAGAGATATCTCACATCTTGTAAAAATATCTGAAAAATATCACGATCAAAAGTAAAATATCTCGAAAAGTATTTACTTTTTGGTGGTCGAAATAATACTTTTATATGAGAATGAACAGAGGAATCGGTTTATGTTAAGAAAATTATATGATTCCATTTAAACAAATACAGTTGTCCTTCATTTGACCCTGACGATTCCAATCAAGGTCAAACTGATAAGATCAATAAATAAATCCTTTTAAACTTTCCGATTTTTATATGAAACATTTTTCTTTAAAATACATTGTTCAAGAGATATTTGAGGTTGTCATTTAAGGCTCTTGACTACTTGCTGTGACTACCTTTGTTTTAATCTCTTAACCTGTAATATCGCGTGAGACTCGTGGTAAATTCGGGCCAAATATAAGAAACACAAGTCAGGCTCGTGATGTGTAGATCTGGCCAAACGTAAACAACACGAGTCACACTCGTGGTTTACGTTTTCTCAGATGCTTTTCTATTGCACTTATATATTAGTCTTGGTCATATTCGCAAAATGTGCAAATATATTTTCTTAAATGAATTAGAAAAAGGAACCCTTATATAATGTCTTCAAAAAGGAAATTTAATAATTTCGGCGCATGGCCGAACAGCTAAATGGCTCGACGCGTGATCGACCTTGCTGTTGATTGTGGCACGCATCGTCGGAACTTAAATCGTAGCACAAGAGGTTAATGACGTCAGAAGCGAAAAAACACATGTCAAAATTTTTTGCATTATACATTCAAATAAAAAGATATATCCACAAAATGACAATTTTGATTGATTCAGCACATTTGTAAAATTGTTTGGACATTTTCCTTTTACTTGAATAATCAATAAATAGTCGCGAAATTAATTCGGCATAGAATATCTCTTTTTAATCTTTTTTATTCTGATTTTGTCAATATTAATTTTATGACTAGTTATTGATTGTTCGGGTAAAAGAAGAATGTTCAGACATTTTACAAGCGCTGAATCGATCACAAATGTTATTTTTTAAATTTATTTTTTTTATTTGAAAGTATAATGCAAAAAATCTTGGAATGCGTTTTCCCGCTTCTGATGTCATTAAACAAGGATAATCATATTGAGTAGTCAAGAATTTTAAAATGAGACATCCTATATATATATATATATATATAATTCTTATTATATAATTGTAAAATGTTATTTGTGTTTTTTATAATTTTATTATATTTTCTATTTTTATTTTTGAAGAAAACTCATAAATAAATGTTATAAAGTTTGTTATAAATGTTATTAAGTTATAAGTTTTGGTTACATTTTTTAAATCCTTTTTAAGATTCTTTAATACTAAATTCATAGACTGATTAAGGGCTTCCTCCTATCTTTGCAGGGTCCTGAAACTTTATAGAATATAGAATCTTTAATATTGTTTTAATAGAAATTAAATAAAATCAATTAGATAAAAATTCGCCCATTCAAGTATGGTTTACTTATATAAATTTTGTATTATTCACAAATAATGCATACTTTCATACCATTAAACCATCATCAAGGTTTTTGTGACATTTTATTAGTTATATTAAGACATTTATCTCTGATGAATTATGTTTTATCTTGTATATTTTAAGAAAAATTCAAGAAAAATATAAGAATAGAGTTGAAAAACATATTTTTAACCTGAATATACTAAAAGAACTATCAAATATAAATTATTTCACACATCTAACATTATAATCTTTTTGACGATTGGCCGATTATTTCCTATTCTAAAACTAATCTGTTTTACACAGGAACATTTTCTAGATCATATACCAAATATAACATGAAAAATAAAAGTTCCTAAAAAATTCAAATTATTTCGGGAGGCACAAATTCTTAAGAAACCAAAATACTGGTATCTGTATAGTTAGCGTCATATATGTTGTACTATTCCTTAGACCAGAGTTTGGTAGGCGATGCACTTTCTAGTCAATTTTTGGAAGGCTCTGCCTCGCGTTATTCTTGTCTCGTCGCCTCGTGCACAATTTACAAACCATTCAGTCTCAGTAGTGTGATCACCGCATATCCTGCTACCTGTAGAAGGTAGAAAAATCTGAAGACTAGTGGATTTTTGTTCAGAAATACTGTATTTCTTATTAACCCTTTCGCTACGGCAATCCGTTCCGTCGGAGTCCCGCCACTGAATGGGAGCCCACGCCAAAAGTGTACACATTGCGCGTAGCTAGTCTTCGACTTTTTCGATTTACGTCTTATACCGAAACAATGCCGCCTTAACATGCGTTTGTATATATACGTGCCGGATATGTCCGGCGCTCGTATTCACAGGTTATCGTATGGATGCCGTATATATCCGGCACTCGTACATACAGGTCATTAGGTGAGAAAGCTAACTGAACAAAAGCAGAGTAAGCAGAAGCATATAATATACAGGGGTGTCTGGTATGTTTTGTACAACCGCTCGCGTGAAGGAAGAACGGGTTAATCTGAGCAGTTCTCTACCATTTTGCAAACAATCATGCAAGTTATTAATTGTTGAAAATGGCCATATATAGAGGTTTCTTTAATTATTAACTGAAAAATTTGCATGTTATTTGCAAAATGTTAAAGCATTTTTTTGTTTCGAGTGCCCTAATCTACAAGTATATCACAGCTGTTATATTTAACGACAGGTTTAAGATTCGAAACTCAGGGTTCAATATACTGATGTCTGTCGCTAGGTATAACAGCTATCATATATTTGTAGATTAAGCTACTCTGAATAAAAAAGTCCTTTACCATTTTTGCAAATAACACGCAGATTTATTAATTAAAGAAATCTCTATGTATGGCCATTTTCAATAATTAGTAACTTGGAATTTTGCGTGATTATTTGCAAAACGGTAGAGAATTTTCCTGCTCAGTTTAACCCGTTCTAACTTCACACGAGTGGTTGTACGAAACATACCAGACACCTTTTATATGCACGAAGAATATTCTGCTTCTGTCCAATCAGTTAGTCTTTACAGTTATTGATGGATTAAACCTACTAGGGGTACTACTTTAAAAAATAAATAGCAATAGTACCACATAGGTGACGTGGAAAATTATTGAAAACAAATAATCACACAATTAAAATAAAAATTTAATAAGGAATATTTTTAATAAAAGATTCACACAGGTCTTCTAATTTTTTTCCTTCCTGCGGGCCCTATAATACCATACGCGGCGACTACGCTCCTGAGACTTGAGTTGCTTATTGGCTACACGCGGGGCAACGAGGCAAGAACAACGCAAGGCGGAGCCTCCCGAAAATCGGCTGAAAATCGCTTGCCAAGCTCTGCCTTAGATGAATAATTATATGCTTTTTAGTCTTATCATAATAAAGCATAAAGTTAAAAATCGCAGAAATAACTGTTGTTATAATGATAGGGTTAATGACTCTAATTATAATAGTTTCGACCTTATATGTCTCTACGTGGGAAAGGCTAAAAATCGTGTAACTTTCATTCTAGAACAGTGCTCGGAATTAGATGCTCCTTTTTCGGCGTCGATTTCGGAGGCGACGCCTACTAACTTCCTATTATCGCTTCATGTTCGACGACCAATCGTCCTGCCTCAGGAACGTCTCTTTGTATGTGAGACATGTACTGGATACCTTCCTTCCAAACTGTCATTAAGATATTTTCCTTGCAAAATAATTGTTATTTTCATAAATGAATAAACACTAAACTTTTTATCAATAATATATTATACATGTTTTACAATAATACCGTATATAGTCATTTTTAATCTATTGTTTCTCAAAATTCTAATAATTATCCTCTAATTATTATGTCATCACACTATATTATTATAGAACATATACAATACTTTAGTGATAGGAAATTTAGTGTTTATTCGTTTACAAAAATAACATTTACTTTGCGAAGAAAATATCTTAATGATAATTTGGCGGAAGATACTCACATGTCATACACATGTCTCATATGTGGAAGGACGCTCCTGAGGCGAAGCGATCAGCCGTCGAGCCCGGAGTGATAGTAGAGAAGCAATAGGAGTCGCTTCCGAAATCGAAATCGGGCAGAAAAAGGCATTTAATTCCGATCTATGATTTAGGAAATGGTACAGTATAACGCCGATAATATGTGTTATATTTTGTTTGAAAAATACTATTTTATAATTAAAATGTAATTCTTTTATTTCTCACAACATATTGAACAACTTATTCTACTGTTTTTATTTTATTTTTGCGTTTTTATAATATATAAATAATAAATTCATCTGTTTAATCAGAAAATTATTCAAATAAATCTTTGCTTTTTTATTATCCTAAATACTATCTTTGATTGTATCGTTATATTTGTTTTTAAAATAAATTGTACTACATTTATATTTATATTATGAACAAATTATGATAACTTACTTTTATCTCCATTTAATTACATGTATAATAATTATTTATAATCTGGAGATGACGTAGTAAGTCAATAGCCATTTCCCTTTCTAGACTACCATTCACCATATCGACAAACCCCGACAGTACAACCAGTAAGGTTGTTAGTTGAACCGGGATATGAGGAACCACACAGTAAACCTAACGCATCTCCCAGACCAAGTATCTTGAGAAAGAGAGATCATGATAATTCACCAATCAAAGGTACAATTATGACACACATCACGCGCATGCGCGCGCGCGTATGTATATATATGCACATACACATACAGAAGGTGAAGCAATGATTATTACTATCCTGAATATCTTCCAAATGAGAATAAGAGAAAAATTTATTTAACAGAAATAGTGCATACATACTAGTGGTCATCACTTCGAGCACCTTCTATAAATGTAAACTGTTTTTCATCTTTACCTAGTTGTTAATAAAATATTTTTATTTTTCGAAGATATTCAAGGTGATAATAGTTATTATCTTTATATATTTTTATTCTGTAATTATAATTATTTATATTTTAAAAATACGTTATATATATATATATATATATATAACATAATAATAAACACAAAGAAACATAAATATTTCATATTCTTTTATGTTATCAATTTTATTATATGTTCTCTCTCTCTCTCTCTCTCTCTCTCTCTCTCTCTCTCTCTCTCTTTCTATCGTCATCTGTAATATTTAATGCGTGTCCTCTTGGGTTTTCGATGCAGTTCGCGAGTACTTTGAGAAACGGTGTTAGGTTGAACTTATCATCCCTTTCTCTTGTCAATTCAGTTGTATTCAGAAGGCTTCTCAGCAAGCAAGGAACGTTAAATCAATCTTTTGA